TAAAATCGAAACAAAAACACACAAAATCGTTTAACAACAAATTTCCAATAAATCTTCTAGACACATTCATACAACCCACACAACTCTTAAATGTCAATTTCAATTGAACATATGAACTTTATTTGATTATAAAGTTCAAAGTATTTTTTATTGAATTAAAATCCAGAGAAAAAAACTTATTTCGAAAAGATTTACATCATCACTTTCGCATAGATTTAAATAAAAATATGTTTTTTCTTATTTGCGAAAAAAAAAAAACTTTTTTAAATGTTTATTTTGTAAAAAGTATATTTAGTTCTACGCATTTGTCGGCCTATTTTAAAGCAACAATGTTAAAGTATTTTTAAGGAAAATTTATGTTAAGGTGAAATGTTTTTGTCAGTTTTAACATGAGTTTTTTTTTTTTTTTTTTGTTAAAGCAACAGTGTGTGTTAAATAATAATATCTATTTAAAAAAGTTTCAAAATCAATTTACTTAATCTTTTCTTGGCAGTCGTTCAATATGGGCAAACTTTGTTCATGAATTCTTCACCTTTTCAAAGTTTTTTCTTATTATTTTAATTGAAATTTAACAAAAGGAGCTTTAATTGAAAAAAAAACGCAAACCTTTTTTACATTTAAGAGCTTTTCCAAAAAAATCTCCATAAAACACTTTTACGGAAAGCTGCTTTAATAATCGTTTGTAATTAAAGAAATAATATTTGATATAAAGTTTCTTCTCCAAAAAAGCTTAAGAAACTTAAAAAAAATAAGATTCTAAATCGTTAAAAACTTATAAGACTTTTTAAATTGACTGATGTACAAAAATTACTTTTTTACAGAAGAAAAAATAGTCATTCACAAAAACGATTTTTTTATAAAAAAAAAGCTTTTTAGCCCAAATTATTTACACAAAATAGCTTCTTCAAAAGTTTTTTTTATAAAAATTTTGCGTTTCCAAAAAATGTGCTGCACCAAATGAGCTCTTTTCATAAAAAAAAACTTTTTTTAAAACAAGAGCTTTTTAGCAAAAACAAAAAGGAAACTTTAAAAAAAGCTTTTCTATAATAAGAAGTATTTCACGAAAATTTTCATAAATTTGTTTCACAAAAAAGTTTTTTTGTACTCAAAAAGACCTTTTCTATAAAAAAGCACTTTTTTCAAATAAAAGAGCTTTTCAAAAAAAAGCTTTTTTATATAAAAATAGCTTTTTAACCAACAAAATATCTTTCATCCTAAATTATTGTATGTGTTTCTGTAAAATGTACATTTTCATCAAAAAAAAAGTGCTTTTTAGAAAATTAATTAAAAATATTTCTACATTTTTTTAACTTTTTTTTAAAGCAAGAGATGACATTTGCAGAATAAGCTCCACAAACCTAAGTCAATTTGTATTTTGAAAATTTCTTACTAAAACAAAGATTAAAAACATAATCGTAAATTTGAAAACTGAAAAAATACTTAGAAATCTATTCCTTTATTTATTTGCTCACAATTACTGGTCTACAAACAAATACAAATTGTTAATTAGTCTTTAAATTAATAGGAAAAGACTAATGTTTGATTAAAATCAAAGTTTAGTAACTAAAAGGCAAATTTAGAAATAAGAAATATAAATAATATTTAAAGCAAATACCTCGGGCTACTACTTAGAATGAGATCAATATGTATTTGGAAAATAAAGAATTAAACAGTTCTTTCAGCATATGTATTAGAGAACATGACGTATGATTTATATTTAATTCTGTATGAAACAATATAATCTTAACACTCATACGCCTTCTATAATAAATATTTGGTGCCAAGTGAAACAAGACTTTTGAATTAATACAACAAATCAGATGTCACCAACAAAAATAACAAAATCCGATTGTATGATAAAAAAAACATAAAGTGAATATCAGCATTAATAGACTCAAAATCAAATAATATTCATACATACATACGCCAATAGTCACAAATGAGTAAGTATTAATTATTCAATTATAATTTATCAAAAATAATCTTTATTTGCCACAACTAAGTCAACCAATTATTTATAATGAGTGAGTAAATGAATGACTGACTGACTGACCAAACAATTGAAAACATATACAAATATTTAACGTGCCTGGCATGAACAATAGATAAAACTTTATTTAGTTGTTAAGAGAATCAAATTCAAATTTTATTTTATTTGATTACAATGACATTTAATCCTGTTCATGTTACGTGTTGTAGTTGTTGTTGTTGTTCTAGCTTTTTATACTTATTATTATGGCTTAGAACTAAAATGTTTAATTAACAGAAAGAGAATCAGTTGGAAAATGAAAATAAAAAAAAAATATAATAGAATTTTGTAGTTAATTAAAATCCATAGATGTTTGTTTGCTGAAATTTATACATTTTATTAATTTGCTTTAATAATGATTGTGTTTGTTTAACATTTTGCTACATTTAGTTTTAGTTGCATCACATAATCGTTTGTATTTATAATAACTGCAACATTAGAGATAACAAAAATTTGTGGTTGAAATAAATTGTATTTATATTAAGTACAAGGTTAATATTCAAGTGTATGTATGTGTTTTTCCTTATTTTTCAAATAATGTTTAGGTATTTAGTTTTGTTAATGACTTTCTAAGATTAAGCAATATAGGCAACAGTTTTAGTTTTAAACTACAACATATACATAGAATTTCTATAGTATGTTCAAGGAGCTTTCTCTATGAAGTGTCTTTATAGACTTTAGAAATATGTATTTTCATTTATTTACAATTATAAACTAAATAGGGAAATTTTAATTTAATAATTTAAAACAAAAAACATGTTTATGTACAAAATCTCTATTACATACTTATCACCTACACTCATTTACCCATACATTCACATTCATCCACTTCTCTTTCTCTCTCTCTCTATCTTTCACACAATACACTTCAGTTCAGTTCTACTTTCTTCTTAATTCATTTCACTCATTCTATTCAAATTCAGTCATTCGTATCTAATGAATTTAATGTAAATATTTATGTAAATAGTTTGTTTTAATGTAATTTATAATTTATTTGTTTTTTCATAGATTTTACTTAATTTTTTATGCAATTTATGTAAAAAATACTTATTAATATACAACATAATATGAAATCAATGTTAATTTAATGTTTGTTTTTAATGTATAAATTTGATTAAATAAGGAGAGTTCCATATTTATTGGTGAAGAGCTTTCTATTGAAAACATTAATTGATAAAAAGTTTTCTATAGAAACGTTTCATTGGAGAAGATTTTTCTATAGAAAAGTTTCATTGCTGAAGTTTTTTCTATAGGAACGTTTTATTGGTGAAGAGCTTTCTATAAAGCATTATTGGTGAAGAGATCTTTATGAAAGCTTTCATTGGCGACGAGCTTTTCATAGAAAACATTCATTGGTGAAAAGTTTTCTATAGAAAAGTTTCATTTATAAAGAGTTTTCTTTAGAAAAGTTTCATTGGTGAAGATTTTTCTATAGAAAAGTTTCATTGATGGAGATTTTTCTATAGAAAAGTTTCATTTGTGAAGATTTTTCTGTAGAAAAGTATTATTGGTGAAGAGCTTTCTATAAAAAACCTTTACTGGTGAAAAGTTTTCTATAGAAAGTTTCATGGGTGAAAAGTTTTTCTGTAGAAAAGTTTCATTGGTGAAAAGTTTTCTATAGAAGAGTTTCTTTGCTGAAGATTTTTCTATAGAAAAGTTTCATTGGTGAAGATTTTTCTGTAGAAAACTTTCATTAGTGAAGAGTTTTCTGCAGAACCCTTTCATTGGTGAAGAGTTTTCTATAGAAAGCTTTCATTGATGAGATTTGTCTATAGAAAAGTTTCATTGGTGAAGATTTTTCAGTGAAGAGCTTTCTATAAAAATCTTTATTAGTGAAGAGATCTTTCATTGGTGAAAAGTTTTCTATAGAAAAGTTTCATTACTGAAGATTTTTCCATAGAAAAGTTTCATTGGTGAAGATTTTTCTGTAGAAAGTTTATTGGTGAAGAGTTTTCTATAAAAACCTTTACTGGTGAAGAGATCTTTATAGAAAACTTTCATTGGTGAAAAGTTTTCCATAGAAAAGTTTCATTAGTGAAAAGTTTTCTATAGAAAAGTTTCATTGCTGAAGAGATTTCTATAGAAAAGCTTCATTGCTGAAGAGATTTCTATAACAAATTTTCACTGGTGAAGAATTTTCTATAAAAAAGTTTCATTGGTTAAGAGTGTTCTCTGAAAAACTTTCATTAGTAAAAATGATTTTTATTAAAAGCTTTCAGTAATGATGAAATTGGTGAGAAATTTTCTATTTAAGCTTGACTTATCTTTGGAAAACTTTCATTTATAAAGAATTTCTTATGAAACTTTAATTGCTAAAGAGCTTTATGACAAAATATTGAAATGCTGTCCAAAACCTAAACTAAAGAGTTTTCATAGAAAACTTTCATTGCTGAAGAGCTTTTAAATAAATATTAAAATGTTGTTCAAAATCCAAATTTAGAAAAACATTTCAATTTGAAACAAAATGGACAATAACTGTTATAAAAAATCACCTGCATCTAAAAATTTAACAATACACATGGAACTCTAACTTTAAATAACAAAAGAAGACACCCAAGAAAATGTGATGAACTTAAATTTAGAACAATTTATTACAATTTAGATTAAATTATTAGCAGTTTGGTTTTTTTCAGTAATTTTTTTTAAATATAAATTTCCTAGTTTTCTTATATTTTGGGTTTTTTTCGATTCTTGAAATACACATTTACGAGTATGTTGTAGTATGAGCTAAGATTGAGTAGTTTCTTTTATTATTGTTAATATTATTATTAATCTTTAGTTATTTTTTTTTTTATTTATTTAATATTAGTCGTAGTAGTGTTAGTTTTTTGTTTGTGTTGTTGTTTAAATTTTATTTCATTTTGGTAGTGTTAGTAGTTTTTATTTTAGTATTTAGTTAGTAAGAATACTAGTATAAAAAGGAGCGCGAGGATATTTAATCATACATCATCGTATTGTACAAGCCATATATTGGACTCACCTTATATCGGATTCACAGAAATATGCTGAAATTGTTGAGGGAAGTAGTGGAGAAAAACATTTAATAACAGCTAAACGACGACATGAAGTTGAAATACAACCGCAACAGCAGCGAGATGAAATACAACAATTGTTTAACAAGCAGGGGGTAGATGAAAATGATGATGATGCTGTTGTTGTAACTGTTGCTGATGTTGCTTTTTTAAATAAATTATATTCTTTAGAATACAATAGGTAACACCAAATATCCACAGCGAAAGACAGAGTGTATGCTGCAGATAATGCTGGTGATAATGATGATGATGACGACGACGACGACGACGACAACAAAAACGACGTTGATGGAGATGTTGAAGGCGCTGACAATGATTGACGTTTACACGTAGATCTAACAATAGCTGTTGTTGAAGTGTTCGTGTTGATGCTGTTGCTGCTAGAGGTGGTGTTAGTAGAAGATTGTAATGCTGTACGTGTCATATGATAATTTTCGCGCAATTGCATGTAATAACAACATGTTGTTGAATCCATACTGCTACTGTTTTTATTCACTTTTGTTGCTACCCACTGTCTCAGCTGTTGTTGTTATAAATTTCTTATTGTTTTTATTACTGTACGTTGTTGTTGTTTTAGCTTGCTGTCTTAATAGTCTGAAAAAGCCAGCCATCAGTGTCAGTAGCAGAAATCCTAACAATTTTATGGATGTTTCTATCACATGACCACCGATTTTAGACCACGACACACTACAGCCGGTAGCTTTGTGTATTGCCTGACATATGCTAAGGTAAACAAGTACGTTAACAGGTACACTAAGATATAATGACTTTGAGACATTCGATGAAGTGCTAGTCCCGCGCGCTGCATTGCTGCTGGGAATTCCCCTGGAAACAGAATGAGAAACACCTGTTTAATTTACATCTTTTTTGCTGTTCTCCAACTCAAACATGTTTTTTTTAATTATTTATAAAATTTCAAATATTTAAATAAATTTTCTATACTTTTCAAATCATTTTCATGTTATAGAAAATTTTTAACAACATGTATTTTAGTTCTAGTTCAAGTTCAGTTCTAGTTCAGTTCTTTCAGTTCAGTTCTAGTTCAGTTCTAGTTCAGTTCTAGTTCAGTTCTAGTTCAGTTCTAGTTCAGTTCTAGTTCAGTTCTAGTTCAGTTCTAGTTCAGTTCTAGTTCAGTTCTAGTTCAGTTCTAGTTCAGTTCTAGTTCAGTTCTAGTTCAGTTCTAGTTCAGTTCTAGTTCAGTTCTAGTTCAGTTCTAGTTCAGTTCTAGTTCAGTTCTAGTTCTCAGTTCTAGTTTAGTTCTAGTTCAGTTCTAGTTCAGTTCTAGTTCAGTTCTAGTTCAGTTCTAGTTCAGTTCTAGTTCAGTTCTAGTTCAGTTCTAGTTCAGTTCTAGTTCAGTTCTAGTTCAGTTCTAGTTCAGTTCTAGTTCAGTTCTAGTTCAGTTCTAGTTCAGTTCTAGTTCAGTTCTAGTTCAGTTCTAGTTCAGTTCTAGTTCAGTTCTAGTTCAGTTCTAGTTCAGTTCTAGTTCAGTTCTAGTTCAGTTCTAGTTCAGTTCTAGTTCAGTTCTAGTTCAGTTCTAGTTCAGTTCTAGTTCAGTTCTAGTTCAGTTCTAGTTCAGTTCTAGTTCAGTTCTAGTTCAGTTCTAGTTCAGTTCTAGTTCAGTTCTAGTTCAGTTCTAGTTCAGTTCTAGTTCAGTTCTAGTTCAGTTCTAGTTCAGTTCTAGTTCAGTTCTAGTTCAGTTCTAGTTCAGTTCTAGTTCAGTTCTAGTTCAGTTCTAGTTCAGTTCTAGTTCAGTTCTAGTTCAGTTCTAGTTCAGTTCTAGTTCAGTTCTAGTTCAGTTCTAGTTCAGTTCTAGTTCAGTTCTAGTTCAGTTCTAGTTCAGTTCTAGTTCAGTTCTAGTTCAGTTCTAGTTCAGTTCTAGTTCAGTTCTAGTTCAGTTCTAGTTCAGTTCTAGTTCAGTTCTAGTTCAGTTCTAGTTCAGTTCTAGTTCAGTTCTAGTTCAGTTCTAGTTCAGTTCTAGTTCAGTTCTAGTTCAGTTCTAGTTCAGTTCTAGTTCAGTTCTAGTTCAGTTCTAGTTCAGTTCTAGTTCAGTTCTAGTTCAGTTCTAGTTCAGTTCTAGTTCAGTTCTAGTTCAGTTCTAGTTCAGTTCTAGTTCAGTTCTAGTTCAGTTCTAGTTCAGTTCTAGTTCAGTTCTAGTTCAGTTCTAGTTCAGTTCTAGTTCAGTTCTAGTTCAGTTCTAGTTCAGTTCTAGTTCAGTTCTAGTTCAGTTCTAGTTCAGTTCTAGTTCAGTTCTAGTTCAGTTCTAGTTCAGTTCTAGTTCAGTTCTAGTTCAGTTCTAGTTCAGTTCTAGTTCAGTTCTAGTTCAGTTCTAGTTCAGTTCTAGTTCAGTTCTAGTTCAGTTCTAGTTCAGTTCTAGTTCAGTTCTAGTTCAGTTCTAGTTCAGTTCTAGTTCAGTTCTAGTTCAGTTCTAGTTCAGTTCTAGTTCAGTTCTAGTTCAGTTCTAGTTCAGTTCTAGTTCAGTTCTAGTTCAGTTCTAGTTCAGTTCTAGTTCAGTTCTAGTTCAGTTCTAGTTCAGTTCTAGTTCAGTTCTAGTTCAGTTCTAGTTCAGTTCTAGTTCAGTTCTAGTTCAGTTCTAGTTCAGTTCTAGTTCAGTTCTAGTTCAGTTCTAGTTCAGTTCTAGTTCAGTTCTAGTTCAGTTCTAGTTCAGTTCTAGTTCAGTTCTAGTTCAGTTCTAGTTCAGTTCTAGTTCAGTTCTAGTTCAGTTCTAGTTCAGTTCTAGTTCAGTTCTAGTTCAGTTCTAGTTCAGTTCTAGTTCAGTTCTAGTTCAGTTCTAGTTCTAGTTCAGTTCTAGTTCTAGTTCAGTTCTAGTTCAGTTCTAGTTCAGTTCTAGTTCTAGTTCAGTTCAGTTCTAGTTCAGTTCTAGTTCAGTTCTAGTTCAGTTCTAGTTCAGTTCTAGTTCAGTTCTAGTTCAGTTTAGTTCAGTTCTAGTTCAGTTCTAGTTCAGTTCTAGTTCAGTTCTAGTTCAGTTCTAGTTCAGTTCTAGTTCAGTTCTAGTTCAGTTCTAGTTCAGTTCTAGTTCAGTTCTAGTTCAGTTCTAGTTCAGTTCTAGTTCAGTTCTAGTTCAGTTCTAGTTCAGTTCTAGTTCAGTTCTAGTTCAGTTCTAGTTCAGTTCTAGTTCAGTTCTAGTTCAGTTCTAGTTCAGTTCTAGTTCAGTTCTAGTTCAGTTCTAGTTCAGTTCTAGTTCAGTTCTAGTTCAGTTCTAGTTCAGTTCTAGTTCAGTTCAGTTCAGTTCTAGTTCAGTTCTAGTTCAGTTCTAGTTCAGTTCTAGTTCAGTTCTAGTTCAGTTCTAGTTCAGTTCTAGTTCAGTTCTAGTTCAGTTCTAGTTCAGTTCTAGTTCAGTTCTAGTCAGTTCTAGTTCAGTTCTAGTTCAGTTCTAGTTCAGTTCTAGTTCAGTTCTAGTTCTAGTTCAGTTCTAGTTCAGTTCTAGTTCAGTTCTAGTTCAGTTCTAGTTCAGTTCTAGTTCAGTTCTAGTTCAGTTCTAGTTCAGTTCTAGTTCAGTTCTAGTTCAGTTCTAGTTCAGTTCTAGTTCTTGTTCAGTTCTTGTTCAGTTCTTGTTCAGTTTCGTGTTCAGTTCTTGTTCGTTCTAGTTCTGTTCTAGTTCAGTTGTAGTTCAGTTTTAGTTCAGTTCTAGTTCAAAAATTTACTTTAAATTTGCTTTTTATAAAAATCTTTTGTTGATTAAAATCTCATAGAAAATCATTTAATTTCACAAAGTTTTCTTTAGCAACTAGAAACAATTTATTCAAATAACTATTTTATTTAATTTATTGGTTTTCGTCTTTATGGTTGTAGAACAAACAAAATATTTTTGACTTTAATACCATTTATGTTCTTTAGGTGTGAAATAGTAAATGATAATCTTTTGATTTGCCCATAATAATTCTCAATAATCACAAAGTAATAGGATTAACCTGGTAACCACAGCCAACTACAATTCTATTAAAAACCCAGAAAAAAGAAACGATATCAAACTATATATTTATAAAAGGAGAACAAAAATAAATCAATACTATCAAGTCTGAACAAAAGAAACAGCAACAGTAAAACCAAAATAATCTCCCTTTATAATTGTAATACAAACTTGTATTTGGGTCAACAGCAATTTCATTAAGTGTTTTTTCCCAAAAAATATTGCAATTTTTTTATGGTGTCTTAAAATCATTACTTTTTTATGACACTAAACCTTGTTAAGAGGATGAAGTCGATGACATTATACCAAAAACAATTTTTATTTTTATTTTTTTATTATATTGTAGCCATAATGCCGATAAGTAGTGGTAAGTATGCCACCAGTTGGTTCAATATACTTTGTGTTCAATCATTTTTGAATACTTACCATTGAGCACGTGAACCGTTACACTTTTTGGTTTAGCATTCGATGGATTGCATTGATAATGGCCAGAATCTGATGGCCGTGCAGATTTGATCAATAGAAAGGAGGTCGTTGTTTCGCCTTTATTTGTAACAACCGAAACACCGCCACGCGGTGAATCATAGTTGATAATCTGCAAATATAACAAATGAAAATAGAAAACAGAAATTGAGAAAGAAAGCTAAACATTGTAGAGATATAAAACTACAGGCAAAATGACCTATGTTGTTTTTGTTAGACAAAATTGAAACCATAAATGAATTTTTGAATGAAATTTTTAATAATTTCGAAAACGTAAGATATATTTTAGCTATTTATTGATAATAGAATATAGAACTTTTAAATGTTTAACAAAAACATTTTTGCACAAATTTTACATAGACCATTTAGCAGTTGTAGAGTTTTAAACATTTCTGTTTTGTTTTGGTTTGTATGTTTGGTATGATGTAGCAGACTTAAGAGCTGATAATAAATGCAAACATAAAAGTTACAACAACAAGATTTCATACTTCTTATGCTAAAAGTAAAAATGCTTTTTAGTTATAAATATTTAAATAAAAAATAAGAAAATATTTACCAAACTTTACTTAAGGTTGTTTACATTATATTTCTAGTTAGAGTAGCAAAATGTAGAAAGTTTCATATTAAGAGAAAAATTTTCTTTTTATAAATTTTCTTTTTCTAGAAAAATTTTCTAAATTTTCTTTTTCTAGAAAATTTATCTAAATTTTTCTAAATTTTCCATTTATATAAAATTTTTGCTAAATTTTCTTTTTATAGAAAATTTTTGCGAAATTTTCTTTTTATAGGAAATTTTTGCCAAATTTTCTTTTTATAGGAAATTTTTGCCAAATTTTCTTTTTATAGAAAATTTTTGCCAAATTTTCTTTTATAGAAAATTTTTGCAAAATTTTCTTTTTATAGGAAATTTTTGCGAAATTTTCTTTTTATAGGAAATTTTTGCCAAATTTTCTTTTTATAGGAAATTTTTGCCAAATTTTCTTTTTATAGAAAATTTTTGCCAAATTTTCTTTTTATAGAAAATTTTTGCGAAATTTTCTTTTTATAGAAAATTTTTGCGAAATTTTCTTTTATAGAAAATTTTTGCGAAATTTTCTTTTTATAGGAAATTTTTGCGAAATTTTCTTTTTATAGGAAATTTTTGCGAAATTTTCTTTTATAGAAAATTTTTGCAAAATTTTTTTTTATAGAAAATTTTTGCGAAATTTTCTTTTTATAGAAAATTTTTGCGAAATTTTCTTTTTATAGAAAATTTTTGCGAAATTTTCTTTTTAAAGAAAATTTTCAATAAATTTTCTTTTTGTAGAAAATTTTCAATAAAGTTTCTTTTTATAGAAAATTTTCAATAAAGTTTCTTTTTATAGAAAATTTTCAATAAATTTTCTTTTTATAGAAAATTTTCAATAAATTTTCTTTTTATAGAAAATTTTCAATAAATTTTCTTTTTATAGAAAATTTTCAATAAATTTTCTTTTTACATAAATTTTTTGCTAATTTCTCGTTTTAAACAAAATTATTGCTAATTTCTCGTTTTAAAGAATATTTTTGCAAATTTCTCATTTTAAAGAATAATTTTGCTAATTTCTCTTTTTATAGGAAATTTTTGCTAATTTTTCTTTTTATAGAATACTTTCCAAGTCCACCCCAATATGAAACTTCCCAAATCTGAAAGGATAACGTTTTCGCAAATAAAAATAGGCAAACGAAAAAAAATATTGGCTAAAAACATACATTTGGCAAAAAATACCGCCTCAAAAAAAGGGATAAAAAGAAAAGGAAACCCATAAAATAAAATTAAATTGATGAAAAGAATGCCGGAACTATTAAAGTCGTACTACACGTCAATACCACCAACACAACCTAAGCGAATTTTATACAATTTGTAAACGTTGGATTTTTTTTTTTTTTTTTTGCAAATTTTATTTATTTCTACACTTTTGCTAAAATGACAATAACACACCATCATCACAGCACATCACACTGAAAAACTTAAAAAAACACATGCAGTAAAATAAAATAAAAATAAAGAATCCCTTGGTTTAAAGAAGCCATTGAAATTCAAAAAGTAGAAAGAAACAAAATACAGAAAAGAGTAACAAAAAAATGTAAAAAATCATTTCAAGGATTTACAAGAAAAGATAAAAAAGGATTAGGTTGTATTTTAGACATGCATACAAGAAGAACTAACTGGAGCGAGATAAAATGTAGACTAAAAAAATAAAAAGTAATAAACACTAAAGAGAAAATAAGTAGGAGAGAGACAGAGGAGGAAAGATTTCTTTTAAGTACATGAGACAACTTACCGCATTATTATGATTCCAAAATATATAGGCAGGCGGTTCGGGTGAATTTAAAATAACGCAGGTTAGATTTATAGTAGAGCCACTTTCTATGTAAAGATCAGGGGCACCTATAATTTCTGTAGAGGGTTCTGTAATGATAAACGAAAAGTAATGATTATGTAAAATTTATTAATTTTAATAGTAAATGTGTATATAACAGTGAGGGGGAGAGTATTCTTCTTAACTTACCCACAACATTCAGATGTATATAATGACTCATGTGTGGCGTAGTGGATACTTGACACTCATATATACCCGAATCTCTATGCTGTGGATATTTTATCTGTAATATCCAGTCTTCGGTTTGTGGCTGATGTATGGCACGAAATCTTTGATCTGATGTGTATGTATATCGTCCCACTGTTAATAGATGTATATCACGATGTCGTACCCATGATACTTGCAGCAGCATCTGTAAAAATTATACAAAATAAATTTACATATTTATTATATCATTTTTTATTTCTTTAAAAGAGAATAAAAAGAAAACTTTCATTGGTAAAGAGTTTTGTATAGAAAACTTTCAAGAACTTGTAACTTGGTCTATAGAAAAGTTCATGAGTGAAGATTTTTCTATAGAAAGCTTTCATAGGTGAATATTTGTCCACAGTTTTCTATAAAAAACTTACATTGGTGAAGAGTTTTCTATAGAAAACTTTCATTAGAGAAGAGTTTTCTATAGAAAACTTTCAGTGGTGAAGAGTTTTCTATAAAAAACATTCATTAGTAAAGAGTTTTCTATAGCAAGCTCACATTGTTGAAAAGTTTTCCATAGAAAATTTTCATTGGTGAAGATTTTGTATAGAATACTTTCATTAGTAGAGACCTTTTTATAGAAAACTTTCATTGGTGAAGAGTTTTCTATAGAAACTTTCATTGACGAAGAGATTTCTATAGAAAACCTTCATTGGCGAAAAGTTTTCTACAGAAAACTTTCATTAGTGAAACTTTTCTATAGAAAACTTGCTTTAGTGCTTTTAAACTTTTATTTATGAGAAGTTTTCTATATAAAACTTACATTGGTGAAGAGTTTTTTATATAAAACTTTCATTGGTGAAAAGTTTTCTATAGAAAACTTTCATTGGTGAAGAAATTTTCAAAGAAAGCTTTAGTCGGGAACAGTTGTAAAGTTGGTGAAGAGTTTTCTATAGGAAACATTCATTCGTGAAGAATGTTCATTAGTAAAGAGCTTTCTATAGAAAACATTCATTAGTGAAAAGCTTTTTATAGAAAGCTTTAATTGGCGAAGAGCTTTCTGTAGGAAACGTTCACGTACGAATTTTCTAAGAAAATTTTTAATTGTAAACAGTTTTTTTTAAAAGCTTTAGATAGAAGATTTTCATTGCTGAACAATTTGTATATGAAATATTCATTAGTGAAGAGTGAGAATTTAAAAAAAGCTTTCAAACGTGAAGAGTTTTCAGCAGTAAATTTTCATTGGCGAGAAGTTGTTCATCTTCAGTTAGTTTAGTTAGTTAGAACGGCAGATGTAGGTTACTACAGGACCTGATGTGTAGGAATTGGAAAACTCTCAACTAACACACAAAAAAATTTCATTGTTGAATAAATTTCTATAGAAAACTGTCATAAGTGAATATTATAGAAAAGTTCTAGATATGTATATTCTAGAGGGGTCTAGAGTCCCCTTTATATAAAGTGTTTAAATTGGGATAGTTCCTTAACACCAAAGAACCTAACATGGTACCACTGGTTTTATGTTAATTCTTCATCTTGCTATAGCATAAATTAAATTTACATTTAAATCAAATATTTGACAAACCTATTAACATTAATTTCAGTCCAATTCTATTTACATTTAAATAACCAACAAAAATCGATTTCCTTTAACTTTTCCAAACAAATTTTCCACACAAAAAAAAACCAAACAAACAAACAAAATTTGAATACATTGTCCCTACAAACATATGCTAAAATATGCTACGCAATAACACTTTCAATTTCTAAAGCAAAATTTTATGGAATACAAAGAAAAAAATGGAAGTATTAAGTGTAATAAAGAAGCCACCAAAGATTTGACAAACTAAAGTGTTTGCAAATGTAGCATAGAAGATTGAGTTTCTAATGTGTCTAAACTGACTTTAAGATTGACTAAAAATGTTCCTTTTGTTGTTGTAGAAAAGAAAAAACGTAAAAAATAAACTTATCAAAAAGAAAACGAAGCATAAAAGGCAGCTATATAGATTTATATCCTTTAGGCAAACTTAAGATGTTTGTTGTTTGTTTGTGAATGGGAGGGAAGGAATGAAAAAAAAAAACTTTAAGTAGCATGAAATTAAATTTTGAGTACTTTTGAATACACCAGCTACTTAGGCCAAAACATTAAGCATTATAACCCTTGTCTTGTGAATGAGTTTATTTAGGTGTATCTTCTATTTATACATACATACATATGTATTTCTTAACAAATCAAAATGTTTTACCTAGGGAATCCAAGTGTTTTTCTCCCCTTTTTTTGGAGAAAAAAAGTTACCTAAAAATATACTTATTGTTATGTATCTATAACTACATATACTATATATATACATATGTATGTAAGTATATATTTATGTTAATGCCTAAATATTATATAAAATACTATAATAACAACCAAACAAACAAACAGCAAAGAAAAAAAAACTATGCCAATTTTAGATTTATGTATTCACGTGTGGCATAGTTAATGTGATCTAATAACATACAAATATAAAAACACAGATACTCATTCGTTGCCACACACACACACACTCTGACTCATATTTATACAAAACAAACGCAAAAATAACAAGACATAACAATAAAGTTTACAAAATAAACAATCTACAAATATACAAAACTACATGTACAAATTCATATCTGAGTAGAAGCATGTTGGAATTGCTGTATATTAGGATGTCCTTATTTGTAAAACGTAGAGAAAAGTTTTGTTTATTTTTAATAACAATTTACCGATATTTAAAAAATATACTTATTTGTTATGTATCTATAACTACATATACTATATATATACATATGTATGTAAGTATATATTTATGTTAATGCCTAAATATTATATAAAATACTATAATAACAACCCAAACAAACAAACAGCAAAGAAAAAAAAACTATGCCAATTTTTAGATTTATGTATTCACGTGTGGCATAGTTAATGTGATCTAATAACATACAAATATAAAAACACAGATACTCATTCGTTGCCACACCACACACACACTCTGACTCATATTTATACAAACAAACGCAAAAATAACAAGACATAACAATAAAGTTTACAAAATAAACAATCTACAAATATACAAAACTACATGTACAAATTCATATCTGAGTAGAAGCATGTTGGAATTGCTGTATATTAGGATGTCCTTATTTGTAAAACGTAGAGAAAAGTTTTGTTTATTTTTAATAACAATTTACCGATATTTTAGCTCACATTGTTCAAATATTTAAAGAAAAGGGCGTGTAACCTGACTACTTTTAAGTAAATGTTGATTTGACCTTAAAAATGTTTGTAAACGTGAACAAACTTTATTGCAAATATGGGGTATATATTGATTTTGTCATGCTCATAGAATTATATAGGTATGTATGTTCTAGATACTTGTTGGCTTCTCTGTCAGTCTGACTATCTATAAATATAGATCGATCTATATAAAGAATTATCGACTGTTGTTCAGAAACTCAGCTGCCAGTTAGTTTTCCTGTGGAATGTAATATCTGTCTGCCTGTCTGTCTGTATGTCTGTCTGTCTGTCTGTCTGTCTGTCTGTCTGTCTGTCTGTCTGTCTGTCTGTCTGTCTGTCTGTCTGTCTGTCTATCTGTCTGTCTGTCTGTCTGTCTGTCTGTCTGTCTGTCTGTCTGTCTGTCTGTCTGTCTGTCTGTCTGTCTGTCTGTCTGTCTGTCTGTCTGTCTGTCTGCCTGTTTGTCTGTCTGTCTGTCTGTCTGTCTGTCTGTCTGTCTGTCTATCTATCTATCTATCTATATATTTCTCTATCTCGCTTCATTATTCTCTTCACATGATCATCTTGTTAATTAATGCTTTTGTAATCAAATAAATATGTATTTCTTGTAATAAGAATTGATAAAATTTTCTTATTAACAATATTGTTCAACTCTTTTGTAGGCCATCCTAATGTTGAGCAGGTGTTTATCAGTATGAATGTGTAGAGAAGGTAGTTAAAAACAACATAAACATATTTGTCATGTTCTACAAGTCGCAGGTGTACTACAAATACACTGAAATAAATTTTTTTATATTAAAAAAAAAAGAAATATTAGTATCTGATTACGGATTTACTTAGCCAAAAATTATGTTCAAAGAAAATTGTATCATATATCATAAATTAAATCTTTATAGAAAAAAAAAAACACAAGTTTTAAAATTTTATAAAGATACAGTTTGTTAGTCACACCTAAACAAAACAATGGCAACAAAAATTTAAATACTTTTCTGAAAATTTCATTTTCCCTAAAACACTTCAAAAAACTCTAGAATGATAAAAACGAATTTAATTTCTTTCAGTGTTCAATAAACCTGTATAACAGTTCATGAGAGAGTGTATTTGCAACCATAGACGAGTGAGTAAATGTGTTTATGTGTAAAAAGCGTGTTGTAGCACTGAAATTGTTTTTATTTCGTTTTTTAATTTCACAACATTTGTCGTCTGTCACCTGTGACCCATGTTAATATAACAAAAACAACAACTGCTGTTACACTTTTATTTTGCTCACATGAAACGAAAAAAATTATTCATTTGCAAAAGAAAATAATAACATTTTATATTCGTGGAAAAAGAAAAAACATGTAATTTTGCCACACTCTCTCGCACACTCTATATTGACACATTTTTAAACACAAGATCAGAATCATAAATGCTAAACTAACTAACTAACTAAAACGAAACGAACGAACGAACGAACGAACGAAACGAACGAACGAACGAACGAACGAACGAACGAACGACGAACGAACGAAACAAAGAACGAAAACGAACGAACGAACGAACGAACGAACGAACGAACGAACGAACGAACGAACGAACGAACGAACGAAAACGAACGAACGAACGAACGAACGAACGAACGAACGAACGAACGAAACGAACGAAACGAACGAACGAACGAACGAACGAACGAACGAACAACAACGAACGAACGAACGAACGAACGAACGAACGAACGAACGAACGAACGAACGAACGAACGAACGAACGAACGAACGAACGAACGAAACGAACGAAGAACGAACGAACGAACGAACGAACGAACGAACGAACGAAAACGAAACGAACGAAAGAACGAACGAACGAACGAACGAACGAACGAACGAAACGAACGAACGAAACGAACGAAACGAACGAACAAACGAACGAAACGAAGAACGAACGAACGAACGAACGAACGAACGAACGAACGAACG